GTTTCTACCATAATAACGCAGCGTTTCGCACGATAACGTACGCACAAAATAATTTCATATTCTCGCACTACCATGCGGCTATTTTAAACACGATGATAAATAATAGTACGCAATTTTTAATGGTCGTCTTTTATATCCATGCATGTATTTAAATTAAGAATTAATTACAGTGCTTAGTTAATTAGAGTTTTAAAAGCGAAAGGTTCTGAACAAGATTTTTGACCAATTTTTTTCAATATTCATTACTGAGGTCATTAATAACAATTAACTGCTAATTTTTCCACGGCTCTAACAAGTTAACCAATTAATTTTTTTTCTTAATTTGAGATTGCCAGATTGCACCTACGGGTAGATACGGATAATGAAAGTATCCTATTTTTTTTAATTACGTCATGGAGTTGATGCTCAAAATTTTTATTTTTGACTAAATTTGAATTCCCGAAGAAATTGGAAGAAAATGAGAGAAACCAGTAAATTACGTTAAAAATAACGCTATTCCAATATTTACCGTTAATTCTTGTAATACACTTTAAATTATCGATATTAAAGTTTAATATCGATAATTTAAAGTGTATTACAAGAATTACCGGTAAATATTGGAATACACTTTAATTATAGACATACCCGAACAGAATTGGTTTTCATTCATCAATTTAAATAAACAATTGCTTCTTTTTAATTAAAAAGTATAATATTTATTAAACGAAGCAGTTACAAAAATGATTTTTAATTCATCGAGAAATTACAGGCTAAGTAATTCGTTAGCATTCACGATGGGACCGTGTTCACGAAGTATAATAAAATTAATTAACATAACATCGATGAAAGGCTTATAATTCTCATTTTCGATTAGTCTGCAGGGCGGTACCATTTCAATAATTTTAAAAATTAATTAATTCATAAAGCAGTTCCGGTACGAACGGTTATTGTGGCAATTGCGTCGTGTGTGCCCCTTTGACCTACCGCTGCCCACCCGAAATTTCACCAGATATAATAAACCTACACACCGTTGAAATTTTGTAATCGCTGAATTTCAAGCAATTATATTTTAGAACTAAAAATAGTATACTTTCATTCCTTCTATTCCCGAAACTACTAAATTTCANCGAAATTCTATGAATTACGACAAAACAGCCCGCAAAACAATATCGAATTGATATACGCCAGCTGTGTAAAACTGAAAACTATAAGATATTGTGGTGTGCTAATAAATGCATATCATCCAAAATTTTTTCAAGATGATTCGAAAAACCTCACTTTTTACACGAACGCAAAGCTAAAGAAACTATGTATTCCATTTCTTTCTCTTATTACAATATGTAAAAGATCAGAAACAAAATGGGGTTGTAAGTATTTTGATATAAAATGATTGATGTTGATTTTACATCAATAAAATTATTTGCAACCCTATTTTGGCTCTGATCTTTCAAGCTAAACAAACTATTTTGCCATCAGTGTCTTTTTTCCAGTTAAAACGGGTAATAAAGGCAAATAGGGAAGCATACAGAAAAATCGTTTGTTGCTGAACTGAAGAAACTATAACATAAAGATATAAAAACTATATCTCTAGCAGAACAGAAAAATATACTGTAAATCAACTTCCCAGCTGGTGATAGTGTAAATACCATTATTAGTCTAGAAAAAACGCAAGGTTTCCTTAAAAATTATTAGAATAACTTAGATCGGTGCAATCTTGTTGGAACATGTTTCAATAGAAAGAAAACTACTTTGGCTGAAACATATATAAGATATATAGTTGAAATATCATAAGTACTGTAGTTTTCTTTCTATTAAAAAATATTTCATACTTAAGTAAACGAAGAAAATTAACAGGTACCTACTACAAAAATGTATTTATTTGGAAAAAAGTATTTTGAAAATACGTATTTTGCATTAGCATTTAAAATACAAAATATTTTGTATTTTACATTTGATATTTGCATTTTGTATTCAAATTCTTTTAAAAAACCATCTCTAATAACGACATACATTAATTTTTTTGGTCACATATAGAATGGTGTGTTTAGGCTCCACGACCAGTTCTCACGATTTGGGGCATTCAAGGAGGCTGTGAGAAATTGGGTATGGCTGTATAGTCGAAACGTGCCCGAGGTATATCTATACCGTACTACAGCAGTAGCTAAGCAAGCATTATTGTTATTAGGGTAAAAAGAAAGGAATGTATTCCGGATTCCGAAAGTGACGAAAGAAAGAATAGATCGTCTCGTGCACCTTTCAATCTTCAATCTTTGACGGTTGTTTACAGTGTGTCCGCTTCTTGCGGAGAGAATGAATGGAATTAAACGCCGTCGAAAACGGCTTCTATTATTCTTCATCATAAAACTGTACAATAGACGAAGCGTTCTCAACGAAAATCCATTCAACGGATAAATAATCGATAGGAGAACAAACAAAACTTTTAACCGAACGTATGACGGCAATTTTCAATTTTGAAGATTATTAGAAGCCGCTCATATTCTTAAGCTTATTAAAAGCCAAAAAATAAACAATTGTAGATGATTATAAAAATCGTTCAGTTTCCCATCTATGCACTAGTGGCAAGTTGGGAACTGAACATATTATTACATGCAATCATCGAAGGTGAGAATTTGTTTTTTTAATATGTTCGGTTCTAAGCTCAGCACTAGTGTATGCCTATAAAGTCGTAATATATTTATGATTTTATCACTACCCCTAATTTTAAAATTGTGTTTCGACTGAGAATCGCTACGGACTCAATTTCTTCATTGATAAATCTTAGGTTTTGCTTGTAAATTTTAAAGGATTTATCAAAGTCTATCTTAAATGCACACGGAGAAAATGAAAAACGAAAATTTACCTAAAGCAAAAATAATAAAAATTACAATTTGGACCCGAATTTGTAAAAATAAAATACCAGCAGAAATAAATATACTAGGTGTTTTAGTTAATATTACAAATTTAATTCTAATAATTAAGAAACTTGTCAAAATTGAGAATTGCCTAATAAATTCTACTATTTCTACGGTAAATTCAGACACTTACAAACGAAACTTGTAATTTTTGCGTTATTCTAAAAATTTAATTTTCTCCGTGTAAGGATTGATATATTTTGTGATTAGAGTTTGGTACATGTTAAGTTTTACCAATAACGATTACATGAAATGTTAGCTTTAACTATAAAACGATGTAATAAATATATTTTTACATTTAATTTTTTTGTCGAAATTTCCAATGATTTCAAGCGCTTTTCTTATCGAAACGATTTTCTATCTTTAAACAAACAAGTACCTGATCCCCANCACCTTAAAATCTGAGTAAAGTTCCTCGTTCAATATGATAATCGATTTCACCTTTGAATTTCGAAGATTAAAATTGAATTATCTATGTAACCTGCTTAATCTTTGCGAGAGCTTTCTCAAAGCTCCACGCAGAGTAGAGTTGCTACCGCCTTCTTCCGTATCACGTTTACTTTTATTATTCTCAAATGCATCATCTATTGTTACGGTCGCATACTCGTTCACCCGTGGGTACAACAATATAATTTATAACAAATAAACAGGATATAATTATCCCCGATTATTAAAAACTGGACATTATCATACGGAATTCTACAATAATATTTCTAGATCATATAAACGTTACAAAAATAAAAATTGAAAAATGTTAAATTTTTTAATTTAATTAGTTCTGTACCGGAAGAAGCAATAGTTTTAGTAAATCAATGACAAACCTCTAAACATTGTTTTGTGTTTAATAGATAACCAAATAAATTATTTAGGTTTTACATTGATATATTAATTTGCAATAACAAATGGGTATAAGGTATACTAATTATATCGTTGGGAGGAGTTAGTGTGCGTCGATTGTTATAGTTCAAACGTCCCTAATTTCGCGTCCCACATTGTCAACAAATCATCATTTCTTTTATGTTATATTATAATATGGCTGATAGGACGGGCTACAGATGAACCAGGCTGTGCCATTTCGTGCCTATTATCATCTCAGAATTAATGGGTTTGTCATTTCGGACACAACTAGAAAGCCATTCTTTTATGCACGGGATTAACGAATGTTGAAAATAACACACTAATGGACGAAAGGAAAAAGCGATGTTCTTTCTCTCATACAAAAACGAATAACTGACACGATTCAGAAGCCAGACCTTTTTTCGTGACCGGATTCGATAAACAAATATTAAATTAGGAGATGAATAGGTATATACTGGGTTATTCAAACTATCATACTTTTTATACTGCTGCAATACATTTGCATTTGCTTTATTTCTTTAGTTTACTTCTACTGTTTGTAGGATTCCAAAGAATATGTCACAAATAATCCACTGTTGCTCTTCTTGTTGCTCTTGTAGATATTCTGTCAGTCTTCAAGAAGAGCACCAATAGAAAAAGATACCTATCCTTCTTTAGTTTAATTTAATTTTAAATATAATATATCTTTAGTTTACTTCTACTGTTTGTAGGATTCCGAAGAATATGTCACAAATAATCCACTGTTGCTCTTCTTGTTGCTCTTAGAAAAGAAAAAGATACCTATCCTTCTTTAGTTTAATTTAATTTTAAAAATATGTGTATGTTTTCTTCGAAGTCTGTCTAAAGTAACTTTCTACATTCCGAAAACTCCAATTTGTCTTCTTTTTACAGAAGATCAAAATGTGGCAGATATATCCTTAAAGTTAATAATTATTCTTTCCATTATAACTTGACATTAGTGGAATTCAGGCTCATGATGTAATAGCACTTATTAAAATAAGAAATTAATATTGGATATCGATTGCAACGCCGCCTTTATTACATCTAAACACTTATATTAATTTAATAAAATGGTCGACTAAACATTCTGANCCTAATCTAAACTTTAAATTAATTTTAAATATTATATGGTATGATCAGTGACATCTGTGAAGTAAAAGTCACATTTATAAAGACAACATGCCTCTTTAATAGCAATTCATACCAGATATGACAGATTTAAAATGTTTTCTACTTGATCTGTTGTTAAGTTGTTAACATGTAACCTATAAATTAGTAAACGAGTAAAAGTCTTGTTTTAATTTACAACTAAAAATTATTAATAACGATAAAGGTTTAACTAAGATGAAATTAACATAAACTCAAATGGTTGTTTGGTGTTACTGTGAATATGTTTTAGAACTGCATGAAATAAACTTCAAAGTTGTTGATGTATTTATCAACTCATAACACAACAGCAACAAAATAAGGATTTTATAACAAAATCATTAAAATGTCTACTAGTGATCAAATAAACTATAATATGGAGCCAAATGAGGGTGCAGTAGCAAGTGGAGAAACTCATAATGTAGGTCAGGCACAAGTAAATGTGAGCAAGCCACCTCAAGCAGCACGACAGACAAATTTACAAAGAATACAACATAATAAACAAACAGTTCTTAGCTACCCATATGACAATAAACTGTTTAAACTTGCCTGTTACTCTAAGTGCCAAGTATGCATAAAATATGTTACTGTTATGGTGAATGTTAATTGATAATATTGTAGGGAAGCAAATGTGACTGTACAGGATGGAATAGGACTGAAAGTACTACTCAAACCCATTCTTTTAATGATCCATGCCGTTGTGAACATTCACTTGGTACCAATAACTTAAAGATACATTAATTTTAGGAGCTATTAATATTAATATGTTAAATATTTACAGAATTACATATTTCTCATTTGAGAAGTAAGAGTGAACAAGAAATCAACAGGCTATTGAGTATGGTTGTTGATGTTGAAAACATGTGTAAGGCCATGAATCGAGAAGAAAATTCAGAGACAAAGAAAGTTTATAGTTACTTGTATAAGGTAAAAATATTTTATTTGGTCCTTTAACTGTATACTCAATATGGGGCAAATAATTACAGTTACTTCAAAAGTGTATTCTTACACTTGATGTGCCAGTCGTGGAAGGACCACTGGGGCAGCCACCATTTGAAAAACCTTCTATTCACAAAGCAGTCACGAATTTACTTATTTATAAATTTTCTCATTTAGCTCAACAAGAATGGAAGACAATGTATGATTTAGCAAAACGGTTTCTGCATTATTTAAATACATGGGATTTTCCATCTCCAAGTATCCAGAAAAACATTGTTAGCCAAGAAGAAGCCACGGTTTATATAATTGCATATACAAGGTACAATTATTAAAAGCTACTATATTCTAATGGTTAATAATTAACAAAATTTTAACAGATGGTTGGTTTTTTGCCATGTTCCTGCTTTCTGCGATTCATTGAGACATTATGACACCACTCAAGTTTTTGGTAGAACCTTTTTAAGGGCTGTTTTTAAATATGTTAGAAGACAAGTGATGAACGAATTTCATCAAGAACGCGAACGAATGCCTTTGGAAAGGAGGGTAATTTGATAATTTAGAAAACATCTTTATTCATCTGATTAACAATTGTAATAGGTGATGATACTGACCCATTTTCCGCCGTTTTTAAATCAACTTGATGAAGAAATTTATGCCCCTTCATCCCCAATATGGGATCAAGATTTCAAGCAAACTCCCTCACCTCATCTGCAATCTTTACTAGAAAGCAAGTCAAAAAGTGTGTTAATTTTTAAATTAAATTAATGCCTGCCTTTTATAATGAATAATTTAATAATTTTTATTTACTCAGAATTAACATTAATGAAGAGGGCTGGTGAGTTTGAAAAACTTACCCCTACTGAACGGGAGGGCTACACAAATTTACAGATTAGCTCTGGCTCAACTATTGTTAAGAAAAGTCCTGACACACCTCCTAAAGACTCAAAAAGGCGTAAGGTGGCTCAAGATGAACAATTTGAGGACATCAGTGCTGATACAGTTGCCGAAATTATTGCAACTATTGACGATCCTAATTACATGACTGGGCCTGATGTAATAAAAAAAGTTTTGTATAATGTTCTGTTGAATAATAATGTATAATTTTGAAGGTTGTTTTTTCCGAAAATGCTCCAGCCAGAGACGAACCGCCAAAATTAGAAGAAAAGCGCAAAATAATTGAATTCCATGTGGTAGGCAACAGCCTCACTGCCCCTGTTACTAAACAAACAGTGCTTTGGTTGATTGGTTTACAAAATGTCTTTTCACATCAGTTACCAAGAATGCCTAAAGAATATATTACTCAATTGCTGTTTGATCCGTAAGTTTAAAAAACAAATCTTGAAAGAACTTGGGTTGATAATAGTNCATCGTCGAAACAAAAAATTCCGTACCTAATTAACGCTGAACATTGTTTAATACTAAATTTCCGATAAGGGTTAATTTTTTTGTCGAAATTTCCAATGATTTCAAGCGCTTTTCTTATCGAAACGATTTTCTATCTTTAAACAAACAAGTACCTGATCCCCACGAACAATCATAAATATCCAATTCAAAGAAAGCGAGCACTTATGTTCATGGTAATTGAGATGGCGAAATGTGGCGTTACAGATTTACATATGTAAACACGTGAAATGTAACTTAATACTAGCCCGTATTGTGTTGTCACTTTTTTGACATTTATAGTTAGGCGTGTAACGATGAAATTCAAACTAGATTGAGCTTTCAGGATCACTCTGATAAAATGTCAAACTATCTAACAGGCATAGGAAAATAAAAGTAGAATTTTCTGATGCGGTGTAGTTTTAATTATCACGAAGAGACCTTCCTATTATTAGACATTGTTAAAAATTGCCTACTCGAAAGTGTAAACTGAATAGATCATTATTGATCGATGCCATTTCTATTGACTGTGTACTGATGAAACTCGCGTTTAATTGTAGCATTTCGCTAGCTGGTAACCTTTCGCGATAATTGTGCCATAATTATGATTATTACAACAAAGGATCGTAATTAATAATCAATTAGAAGAGAACTTGTTATGAAGCGGCGCGTCGGAGGCGCTTTTGAAATCTGCGCGTAATTTATTGCATTTTTTCGTTTTCATTAGTAAAAGGATACCACATAGACACAAACACAAAGCTGCGGCGGTGACTTGATCTTAAAGATACCTTTCAGTCAGTCAGTGCTGCTGTCAGAAAATATTGTTTGCTCGAGGTCTTACGTACACACAACATATACTATTATAATGAATACTTTCCAATCTGATACAGATCGTTTAATCGGCTACATTTTCCGCGCATTTATGTATCTTTGAGGATATGCGATATTTCATAATTACAAAGCATCGAAAAAGTGGGGAACGCAAGACCAAAGATGATGAACCGAAAACGAAGACCAAATACGCAAGATTAAACGAAAAATTATTACTTCCGGTGGATTTATGAATAGCAACTTTAGTATATTCTTTTCTTCTACAAAACATTTTTTTATATTTAAATTCACAGTTTGCTTTACCAGATTTTAACACTAAATATAATAAAAAGAAACTTTACCACTGTTTGACTAAAGTGATCTACAAGAATGCCCTCGGAGTAAGTCTTTATTCCTATGTCTGGATAACGCATGGTTGGAATATAGAGACAAATAATTGTTTTTCGATACCTTGTCCTATTTTTTTCGTTAAAAGGTTAATTTATGCGTTTGAGAAAGGGTATGATTTCGAGTTTTCATAACTTTTACAACTATTGACACTATTTTCGTTAAAAGAAATATCTGAGCAAGAGAAAGACCGAATAAGAAAGGCCAAGATCAATACCAAAGTTGGGACAGTTTTGGTCTTGGTTTTGCATTGTTTATCACCAGGAACCGCAAATAAACATCAGAATGAAGGGAACAAAAACTTTTAGACATTGTTGTTCTTAGAATTAAAACCATTCTAGACAATAATCGGCTGAAAATTGTAATTAATCGTTGAATGAATACAAATGTTTTATAACATATAATGATTATAAAGTAAATAATATTTCTCATAACTATTATAGTTAAAAATGCTGTAATTTAAATAACTACTACCTTCTAAAATTATGCAGAATAAAGCATTATTATTATTTAGTGGTTCTCTGCAAAATTCTGTGGCAAATCTTTTCAATTCAGTGGGCAATTATAAAATTGTAAATTGTAAAAGTATTTACATTACAGTTGTAATTAAGAATGTTTTTAGAATATCACACCTCATATATTTATCCTTTATAAAAAAATTATAAACGTATTTTTCCCCCAGTAATGATGGATTCACTTAAATGTTTTCTAATATTAGGTACCAGTTGCAATTTGTAAAAACGCTTCGTGTACATAACATTAGCTAATAAATACTGAAATATGCAATACACAGCTAGGTAAGGCACTCAGTGCCGTTTGATACCCTTGTGATGTCTTGAATGTCGTGATCTTTCTAACAACAAGAAACGAAGGAGATGTGGTACACTATATAGAAGATCTGATTGATCAATTCGTTTCCTCATCACGCAATAACATCTAACACACTTTACAACGATGCCGGAGACGACTATCGTACTGATACATGCGCTTTTCCATAAAAGCGTTAACTTTTTCTACCAAAAAATCATCTGGTTAAATACAATCCTGACTTACGTCTTTTATTATTTAATGCTGATGACATTAAATGTTGTCGTGTTTCCACGTATTAATCAAATATATCTAAATTAGTCACCTACGATGCTACCATGGGGTGTAATTTCCTTGTATCAAATTGTAGATTATAATGTAATTATTTTCCTTAAAACCACGCTGTTTTTCGTTAGTAACAAAAGTTTTAAATTTTGCAGCACATAACCTAACGTAATGCTAGGAACACTATCCAACTATAAGACCACTTTTGCCAATTTAAATTAAGTTTGCTCCGTTGGAGTCAAAACGCACCGCCAAAAAGCTCGGAGCTTTCTTATACTTTCATTCATATTACGTACGTGTTCGTCGACATACGAATTTTAATTCAATCGGGACAAAATAAAGGGCATTGGGCATTGTGTCTTTAAGAGTTTCATTCAGTAACTTACCCACACATAATCTGAGACCAAATTGAAAATTTCGAAACTCCTTTGTCGCAACGTCATCTCGATTTCATCTGCAACAAGAAAAAAAAATAATAAAATGTTACAACTGATGCTGTTCTGATTAGGATTTAAAGGCCGTCGTGTGTTGGAGTCGCTTCCTAACGTTTCGCCAGCACGAATGGCGACCTTCTTCAGAGGTCCTTCCATCTCCGATACTGTGTGGAATCCACATCCAGCATCGGAGGTGTAACTCCAACACACGACACTCTTTATACTCGAGTCAGAAGATCAACAGTTCACGTACTAGTCACGAAAGCCTTTGCCAATCTGTCAATATGTTAAAAAAAAAAAAAAGATTTGGTAAAAGTTTTAACAAGTCAATCAAGTTATTAAAATAATTCGAAATGGTCTGTATTCTGTCGAAACTGCCAGACGCGGATCGCGATTTCGATCTTTTTGGATCTCATCAGCGCATCTCCGACAGAACACAGACCAAGTTTTACCTGCTGTCTTAACAGTCCTAAAATGTAACATCGTGCTACAGATGGCGTTTACTGCGCCATTTGTATTATTTTCTAAATCAAGTTATTGTTTTCACATAATTTTCAACGAACTCTATTTTGTCAAGCTTTCTCCTTTCTTCGGAAGTCTAACAAACTATCAAAAGAAGAAAGACCAGAAACTTGCCGAGAAAAATTCAAGACGCTCTAATTCTTAACATCAAGTGAGAGCGAAGCGTTTGGGCGTATAAATTGAGTGAGTGTGTCAGTAAATGCATTCCAGACAAGAAAGCTCACGCTTTTACGCAACAATGGAACCTCACAACCATTGTTACCTTTAACAAACGCCTGGTCATCGACAAGTGCAGTCCCTTATTTTCTGACCGAGTATTACCTATTCTACTTTTTTCTTTGATGCTGGGTCTCTAGTTCTATATATATAGGTATACACTCCAATAATAACCTAACCGACATGCACTAAACAAACACTTTGATGTGACACAAAAGAGGACAAATATTTTCGAGTTTAAACCTTGTTCTTGTGCAATTTTCCCAAGAGAGATACAATCGTGGAGTGTTTTTACAGGTACATACGAGTATTAGGTACCTGACCGATTTCAAAGATTCAGAAAGCTCTAAAATGTTGTAAAAGTGGATTGTTTAGGTTCACCAAAAGAAGGAGTTTACGTTTTTATAATTGTACTTAAATTCAGATTAATTTTTTAACAAGTTACTGAAAGAAATGGAGTGATTGTAAAGCTCAAAAAGGTAATCTTGTCACATAAAAGCATAAGCTAAGTATTTCTGTAATAGGTAATCCGAAAGGTGTTGATTTTCAATTCAATATTATTTTGCAACTCTGTCAAGGAGCTCCCAAAATATCTAATACTTTGAAGTTGTCTTGTAATTTAATCGACATAATATTAATATCAACAGATATCATTTATTTTTCGTACAAACGAAATGTTTCTCTTGTATATTAGTGTTTGAATATACGCATATATAACGACCAGAGATGTGATTTATTTGAAATATTTGTATTTAAAAAGCAAATACAAAATAAAAAATACTTATTTTTATCTTGCA